TCCTAGTGTCTACTAATTTAGTGTCTTGAACAGCACTGATTTATAATCTACAGAGTTGCTACTTATTGGTATCCACAGTTTTGGAAGGTGTCCCTCCACCATTCCTGAAGTCAAATGTCTGTTGCTGTGACTAAAGGAAGTACTGCTGCAGCCCAGCACAATCAAGCCAACGAGCCGCGCGTGGACTACATCTACCCGCTGCATATCGCGGCCCGTGCTGGTCATGTGGAGGTGGTCCGAGTCCTGCTGGACCATGAAGCCAACGCAGCCTGCCTCACAGTGGGGCAGGACACTCCGCTGCACCTGGCAGCCGCCTTCAACCACGGAGCTGCCATCTCTCTCTTACTGGAGAGGTAAGTCTCCATCTTGAATAAGGCACAATTTGATTTAACACAAACTGAGGGATTAGAATTTTTAAATTGAATTCAAGTCAGTTTGGAATTAATATTTGGCAAAGATGATGGGTTTGGTGGAGGATTGAGGTATAAACTGTCAATTTTCAACAGCCAAGATCTCAGATGGAATCCAGCTTTGGACACTTTTTTTCAGGAGAAAAAATTGTGCTTTTTTATGGAATATTCAACAAGTTCTTGAGCCTTAACTCAGGCCATCTAAAGGAGAGGATGAGGCAATATTTGAAGACATGTGATCCCTATGCTGCATTGTGCTGAAGGAGGAATGTTGTTGCCAGAGGTGCAGAGTGGAAGCCCGCAACAACAACCATCTGACACCACTGCTTGTTGCCGCCATGGAGGGCCACTGCGATGCCTTGAATACCCTGATAGAACATGGATCTTCCCTGGAATTCTTGGACAAGAACGACCAGTCTGCCATTTTCCTCGCTGCACAGGAAAATCATCCTCAAGCACTCTCTCTGTTGGTTGGCAGTAGGATTGATGAAGGGTTCAAAACATGTTTTGTCCAAGTTCCTATTTGAATCCATCTCTCTCCATGCGTGATGATTTTTTAAATAAATCTTTGTCTTCAAATGTATCTTAATTTTCTGTTGAGAGTTTTCTATTTGTGCATATTTGAAAAAGTCATTAAAAATAATTGATAATGTGTGCAATGCATTTTAGTAGAATTCACTAAATACAGTAGAACTTCCATAAGAGGGTATTCCAACTAGAGGACACCTCTCTCTACAAAGAACAGTTTTCATCAGAAAAATTATTATTTTTCACTATTTAGCAACTCTTCGGTAAGAGGACACATCTCCCAAAAGGATACTTTTCTTCTGCAATTAAGTATTGTCCTATACAGGGAGGTATTTTTTTCTACTGTAATTTGAGTGTTGTTACTGAGAAATGTGATGTTTAAAAATTGAACTAAACAATTGTGTGTTGAAATGTCCCCAGCTGCTGCTGGACACAGAGGTGGGACTGAGGATGGTGGACCGGAGCAATCGCTATGAGAACAGGCCCATCCATGTCGCTGCCATGAATGGCTTCTATTCCATCGTCAGGGTAAGTCTCCTCTCATTCTGTCATATGGCACAACTTGGACTTAAAAGTGATGTGTTCACTAAATTCAAAGAATTTGATGCCCTAATCGGAATCGATTGCAATACCAGAGACCAATATTTGGTTTTGGACGGACTCCTCAACTGCACTTCGTTGGATTCAAAATGAGAAACCGTGGGCAACATTTGTCAGAAACAGAGTCAACGAAATCTGTTCTATTTCGAAGAAAGAAAATTGGCATCATGTATCAGGGGTAAACAATCCAGCTGACCTTCCATCACGTGGGAGCAGTGTAAATAAATTGATAGAGCATAAATGGTGGGAGGGACCCTCTTTTCTCTGGGGAGAAGAAGCAAGCTGGAATCAATTTGATCCAATTTTTGATGAAGAAGAAATCAATAAGGAATTGAAGAAGACAGTAAACATCGCTGTCAACAGCACGAAAGATAATTTCATGGACAAACTTGAGAGGTATGGAGATTATCATCGTATAGTACGGATTGTCGCTTATTTACTGTGTTTTAAAAGGAAGACCATCTCAGATGAATCGCGACCCGGACAACATGATAAGATGTCAAAAGAAATCTCTGTAGAAGAATTTGAAGAAGCTGAAAAGGTAGTATTACGGCATATCCAACTAATAAGTTTTGGGAGAGATGACAAGCGAATAAACAAGCTCAACGCTTTTACAGATGAATATGGACTATATCGAATCAAGAGTCAACTGTATTTTGGAGAAGACGACTATGATACAAGATGCCCAATAGTTCTTCCGGGGGAAAACCAAGTAGTCAAGCTTTTGATTCGAAAAGAGCACGAGATGATGTCCCATGCCGGGATTCAAACAACTCAACAACTGGTGAGACGTCGTTTTTGGATTCTAAAAGGCAAGAGAACCATAAGAAGTATCATCTCTGCATGTGCTACGTGTCGTCGTTACAATTCCAAGAGAGTCCAGACTGAGAGCATTCCAATTCCAGCAACCAGGATCGGATCGACACCAGCATTTGGAGTGATCAGTGTGGATCTAGCTGGACCTTTGACTGAGACCGGTGGAAAGAAAATATGGGTAGTGTTGTACACCTGTGCTGTGTACAGAGCTGTACAATTGGAGCTCACAAAAACAGTGTCTACTGAAGGATTTCTTGACACTTTTCGAAGATTTGTTGCAAGACGTGGTAGACCGAGCATTGTGTACTCTGACAACGGCCTCAATTTTGTCGGATGCAATAACTTATTCAAGAAAGTTAATTGGAATGATGTCCTACGTTATGCCACCGTACAACGTATTAAGTGGAATTTCAACCCCCCAACAGCAGCATTTTGGGGAGGATGGTGGGAACGCCTTGTGTGTCTCATGAAGCAACTGATCCGAAAAGTATTGGGAGACAAAACAGTCTCATATGAAGAACTACAGACTGTGATATGTGAAGTGGAGTCAGCAATGAATTCGAGACCTTTGACCGCGATCAGTGAAGAATCTGGCTTGGTACCTATAACACCCGCCAAATTCATGTGTGACAACGCATCATGCTTATTTGTACCTGAAGCGGACATTGTCGACTCTAAGTTCCTCAAAGATAGTCATGCAAAAGTACAAAAGTTATGTGAGACAATTCGACAAAGATTTAGAAAAGAGTACTTAGGGTTTCTGCGACAAAATACTAGAAACAAGACAAAGTCAATTAAAGAAGGTGATGTTGTACTCATGGAGGTCGATAACAAAAAGCGAACAGAATGGCCAATCGGAGTTATTGAGAAGACCTACCCGGGAAAAGATGGCATCGTTAGAGTCGCTATGATAAAAACTAAGCGTGGAAATTTTTTGCGGCCGGTTCAACGTTTGTTCTTTCTTGAATCAAGCGAAAACCATTCTAAAGAAGATTTCGGAAAAAGACGTGATCTAGAGAAAGAGAAGATAAATCTTGACACACCAAGTATATCGCAACGGAGCATCCGAGGGAAAAATTCACCTGTTATCACAAGATCAGGAAGAATTGTTAAGCCGCCTGACAGATATTGATCATAGTGAATCCTGAAGAATAATTACTCCATAATTATTGGTGGGAGTATGTTGCAGATCCACTGCCTTTTTATATTGAGAGGGAGGCCTTCAAAATGTAAGAAAGCCGTGTAAGAGACGCCCCCCCCCTCCCCCCCCGCGGCGCGAGCGGCGGCGGTCACGCCCATGATGCAACTTCCGCCCTCTCTCGCCCCCCACTCTCTTTGTTCTCCTTGTTGTCGACGCCTGCTCGCGTCTTGACCCAAAACTCTATCTCTCTCTTTTGAAGTAATACTTTTCCTGTAATTTTTGTATCAATTATAAATAAATTTTCATTCTTCACAGCAATCATTGAGTTGCACTAGTTTTACTCTATTTTATGCTGGTTACGCCGTCCAGTGATACGAATTTCATTTTTTAAAGTTCGACAACAGTAACTATAAATGAAAGTACACCTCTCCCATCAAAATAGACACTGAAACTATGCACCACCTATTGCTAGGTTCATTAAACTCTTTATTTCGACTGACTGTGGTACAAGTCGTGGACTCCCATACATGAGAGTAGATGGTCTGAGGTTGCCTCCTCCTTTTTGCAGATGGTGCATGTTGGGAAGATCCTAACTCTGCCATAAGGAGATAATACAAGGAAAGACCTGGAGGTGGTCCGAGTCCTGCTGGACCATGAAGCCAACGCAGCCTGCCTCACAGTGGGGCAGGACACTCCGCTGCACCTGGCAGCCGCCTTCAACCATGGAGCTGCCATCTCTCTCTTACTGGAGAGGTAAGTCTCCATCTTGAATAAGGCACAATTTGATTTAACACAAACTGAGGGATTAGAATTTTTAAATTGAATTCAAGTCAGTTTGGAATTAATATTTGGCAAAGATGATGGGTTTGGTGGAGGATTGAGGTATAAACTGTCAATTTTCAACAGCCAAGATCTCAGATGGAATCCAGCTTTGGACACTTTTTTTCAGGAGAAAAAATTGTGCTTTTTTATGGAATATTCAAGTTCTTGAGCCTTAACTCAGGCCATCTAAAGGAGAGGATGAGGCAATATTTGAAGACATGTGATCCCTATGCTGCATTGTGCTGAAGGAGGAATGTTGTTGCCAGAGGTGCAGAGTGGAAGCCCGCAACAACAACCATCTGACACCACTGCTTGTTGCCGCCATGGAGGGCCACTGCGATGCCTTGAATACCCTGATAGAACATGGATCTTCCCTGGAATTCTTGGACAAGAACGACCAGTCTGCCATTTTCCTCGCTGCACAGGAAAATCATCCTCAAGCACTCTCTCTGTTGGTTGGCAGTAGGATTGATGAAGGGTTCAAAACATGTTTTGTCCAAGTTCCTATTTGAATCCATCTCTCTCCACGCGTGATGATTTTTTTAATAAATCTTTGTCTTCAAATGTATCTTAATTTTCTGTTGAGAGTTTTCTATTTGTGCATATTTGAAAAAGTCATTAAAAATAATTGATAATGTGTGCAATGCATTTTAGTAGAATTCACTAAATACAGTAGAACTTCCATAAGAGGGCATTCCAACTAGAGGACACCTCTCTCTACAAAGAACAGTTTTCATCAGAAAAATGATTATTTTTCACTATTTAGCAACTCTTCGGTAAGAGGACACATCTCCCAAAAGGATACTTTTCTTCTGCAATTAAGTATTGTCCTATACAGGGAGGTATTTTTTTCTACTGTAATTCGAGTGTTGTTACTGAGAAATGTGACGTTTAAAAATTGAACTAAACAATTGTGTGTTGAAATGTCCCCAGCTGCTGCTGGACACAGAGGTGGGACTGAGGATGGTGGACCGGAGCAATCGCTATGAGAACAGGCCCATCCATGTCGCTGCCATGAATGGCTTCTATTCCATCGTCAGGGTAAGTCTCCTCTCATTCTGTCATATGGCACAACTTGGACTTAAAAGTGATGTGTTCACTAAATTCAAAGAATTTGATTCCCTAATTAAAAATCAGTTTGGCAGATCAGTTAAAATTTTCAGAACTGATAATGGAACTGAATATGTCAATCAATCGTTTTTAGATTATTTAAGAAAGAATGGCATAATTCATGAAAGATCTGCTCCTTATACGCCCCAACAGAATGGCTTTGTTGAAAGAGATTTAAGGACTATTTTAGGACTTGGTCGATCAATGCTACATGACTCAGGGCTAGAAAAGAATCTGTGGGCAGAAGCTGTTAACACAGCTGTCTATGTTCTTAATAGAACACTTTCAAATAACGAGAAAACTCCTCTTGAACTTTGAAGTGGCAGAAAGTCAACTTTCAAACATTTCAAAATCTTTGGTTCTGAAGCCTATGCTAATATACCTAAACAATTTATGTCAAAATGGGATAGTAAAACTAAGAAAATGATATTCGTTGGATATGAGCATACTTCTAAGAATTATAGACTTTATGATCCTAAATCCGGACAGATTGTAGTTTGTAGAAATGTAACTGTAAGAGAACCCAATCCTGTTGACACATGCGACACTCAGATGAAAATTGCACCTATATCAATTGAGAGTGAGGGATCCTCGCAACCTCAAGATGAGGATTCTACTCAGGAGGGAACGTGTGGGCCAACTCACTCATACAATCTTAGACCTAGAAAGACATCACAGTGTGATGTTGCTAGTGCATGGATAGCTGAAAGCCTAGAGCCAGTTACTTATGAGGAAGCAATGTCTAGTAAAGATAAAATAAATTGGGAAATTGCTATGAATGAAGAGAAACAGGCTCTTATTAAAAATAAAACATGGGAATTGGGACCTGATAATTCCTGATAATGCAAAAGCTATAGGATGTAAATGGATTTTCCGCATAAAAAGAAAAGGCAATGGTGAAATTGATCGTTATCGAGCAAGACTGGTGTCCAAAGGGTTCAGCCAAAGAAGAGGTATAGACTATAAAGAGACTTTTGCCCCAGTTGTAAGATATGACTCAGTCAGAGTCTTGTTAGCCTTAGCTACTGTCATGGACATGGAAATTATGCAATTCGACATAAAGACTGCTTTTCTTAATGGTGATCTTGACGAAGATATCTATATGCAAATTCCAGAAGGAATAGAAGTTGAAAATAAAAACTTGGTTTGTAAACTAAAGAAAAGTTTATATGGACTAAAACAATCACCCAGAATCTGGAATGAGAAATTCACATATTTCTTAAAACAATTTCAGTTAACCCAATCACAAGCTGATCCATGTGTGTTCTACCAAACTAAGACTGATGCAAAAATATTCTTAGCTCTTTATGTAGATGATGGTATAATGATGAGTACTTCTAACAACCTGTTGAAGGAATTAGCCCAATATCTGTCCTCACATTTTGAAGTCACCATCTCCACACAAAACCAGTTTGTAGGCTTAGAGATAGATAAAGAAAAAGGCCTCATATTTCTAAGTCAAACCAGTTATATAAAAAGAATACTTGATAAATTCAACATGACTTCATGCAATTCTTCAGGGACTCCTGTTGACCCCAACATGAAATTGACAAGAGAGAACATCAATGATACTCATGACATGCATAACGTTCCATATGCTGAAGCTATTGGATGTTTGATGTTTCTTGCCGTCTGTACAAGACCTGACATAGCTTTCGCCGTTAACAAGCTAAGTAGATTCATGGCAGCTCCTGTTCTCACACATTGGAATGCTCTGAAAAGAATCTTCAAATATTTGAAAGGAACTTTGGACTCAGGCATTCTATAACCAAAGACAATCAGTTGTGGCTTTATCTACCACAGAAGCCGAATACATTGCAGCAAGCATGGCTTCAAGGGAAGCTGTATGGCTTAAACTACTGATCAAGGAACTGACACCCAATGATAATCCTGTTCCTTTGATGATTGACAACCAGAGTGCTATTAGACTGATCTTGAACCCAGAATTTCACAAGCGCACTAAACATGTTGATGTCAAGTTTCACTTTATACGTGAACAGCACAAAATGAAAATCATCAAGATATTCAACTGTCCAACAGAAGAACAATTGGCTGATCTTCTCACAAAGGCTCTACCAGCAACACGCTTTAAAAGACTTTTTAAAGACATTGGAATGTCTGCCTTGCTTTCAAGTGGAAGTGTTGAAGAGTGAAAGCAAGACGACACGTGACGTCATTTTAGTTCCTGGCGCCACCGCCTGGAGGAGCCACAGACAAAAAAAAGAAGCCACCCTAATCTTCCCCATGTAGTTGTTTTGTTTTGGTATAACGTCTTATCTTTTACCTAATAAATACTTACTTTAAATACATTTTCTCCTCTTTTATCTGCTTACCACAAAAGGAATCCTTGCAATATACCCGTAGATATAAGAGGATATATAACAAATGTCTCGCTCTTGTTGAACCTAAGATCACTGCATCCAGTCCCACAACCAGTGAAGTGAGCTTCGCTTCTAGCTCACACCAGAGAACTGTAAAACTACCCAAGATAGAATTGAAGAAGTTTACAGGAGAAATAAAAGATTGGTTGGGATGGTGGGCACAGTTCAACAAGATACATGTCGATCCCACTTTAGAAGACAGCGACAAGTTTCAATATCTTGCGCAATCTATGTCGCCGGGAACCAGAGCTAGTAAACGGGTTGATAGTTATCCCCTGACTGCCGAGAATTACCCCAAAGTCATAGAAACTTTGACAAACGATTTGGAAGGCCTGAACTGTTGCAACAAGTCTATGTCAGGGATCTTATCCGCCTTATGATCGACTGCTCCTCCAAACAACAGTTGAAGGTGACTTCATTTTTATGATGAGTTGGCGACTCATTTGAGAGCATTGGAATCCTTAAAGATTGAGGCATGTCTCAGAAGAACTCATGAAGGCTTGGCAAAGAAGCCCCCTCCATGATGTCAAGATTGATGCTAATGATTCGACTCAAACTAGAGTTGACCTAATTATGGAGTTTCTCCAAAAGGAAGCTGCAGCAGAACAAGACAGAGCCTTAGCTGGATCCAAGTTTGGACTCAAATCTCTGAAACAGGATAGAAATGTGGGCAGACAATCACATCCTGCTAAGATACCTACGGCCTCTGGACTCTTTGCTGGACGTGCCCAAAATTGCATCTTTTGTAATAAAGATCATAAAAACACAGAATGTCTTGCTGCGCGCAGAATGAGCATTAAAGAAAGAAGAGAACGTATTAAAAACGCTAAAATGCAGTCTACACTGTCATGCATTGAAGTTTCAGAAGGAAACGCCCGGGATGTGTTGCTCCAATGGGAAAGTCAATTTGCCTCCGATGGTTGAGCCGCCACAGCCACTTCTAACATACGTAGCTGGAGCAACTCGGGAGTCGAAACATTTCCTTCAGCATATTCGGAAGTACAACTCATGCTTCCAAATGACATCGTTTGGATCGACGCATATTGAGCGTTTTGGAAATTTCGAGCCCACATTCAAAGTGCAAGGGCAAGTGTACCATCAGATTGGTTCACTTCTTCCAGTACCCAATGAAGATACGAGGTTTTTGCAGATTTATTTCATGGACAACGTGGAGGAGGAGATTGATCGACGATGCGCATTCAGTGAAGCAACAAGGCGGGCAATCATCGCTGAATTACAAACGCTATTCCACGAGCACAACTGTTTGGTCCGAGACTTCAAATCCGCAGTAGAGAATGTGCGAGCGGATGATATGAAAGTCCTCATCAGGGCAGACAAGACGCCGACGAATGAGCATGAACGACGCTTCAATGCTCCGATGACTCCTGAAGTAGCAGCTGTGATTGTCGGTACAGAGATCGCTCGACGAGATATTGTTATCTGCAGACGAGATGGAACCAAGCAACGTGTTGCCACCGATCATACGACGCCCTTCAATATCCAATACTTTTTCCGCGCGGTGAAGACGGATATCATCTCGAACTTATCAAGTTCATCCTATCTCAGACGCCGTGACAATGAAAAAAGTCAGCTGTATGGACTTCTATGCATATCGCATCATGATTCGAGCCCAAGAATCCAACCACATCCTGAAGTGTCGTCAACTTTTCCAACAATTCATCGTTGACATGTATGCCAAAGTCGAAAGCGAACGTCTCAACTACATTCGCTTCAATCAGTCAAAGCTTCGAGCTGACCAATACATTCATTTGCGGGATGCAATCGCGAATGATGGAGCCGCTGCTGCTGCGAACATTGGGCAAATGGTCATACTTCCAGCTTCGTACGCTGGAAGTCCGAGACATATGCATGAATATGCTCAGGATGCTATGACTTATGTTCGCACATATGGACGTCCAGATCTTTTCCTCACATTCACTTGCAATCCAGCATGGGCCGAAATCAAAAATCTACTTCTGCCTGGCCAACAGTCATCTCATCGGCATGACCTCACAGCGAGAGTTTTCAAACAGAAATTGAAATGTTTTATTGATCTCATCGTTAAGAACCATATATACGGTCCAACACGCTGCTGGATGTATTCCATCGAATGGCAAAAAAGAGGCACTCCACATGCTCACATCTTGATTTGGTTGGAGGAAAAAATTCTTCCAACTCAAATCGATAATATCATTTCTGCTGAGCTGCCTGATCCACAAGAAGATCCTGAATTGTACCAGATTATCAAGAAATATATGATTCACGGACCGTGTGGAGCGCAAAACCCACATTCACCGTGCATAAAGGACGGCAAATGCACCAAAAAGTATCCAAGAGACCTGGTGCATGACACACAAACTGGTGGCGACGGTTATCCTCTGTACAGACAAAAACCAGAGGATGGTGGCCACACAGCAACAATCAAACTCAATCACGTTGATTTTGAGGTTGATAACCGGTGGATTGTGCCTTACTCTCCTTTGCTCTCGAAAGCATTTGATGCGCATATCAACGTGGAGTATTGCAATTCTGTCAAATCGATCAAATACATTTGTAAATACGTGAATAAGGGCAGTGATATGGCAGTTTTTGGACTTCAAAATCCAAATGCACCCGTCAATGAAATCGACCAGTTTCAAATGGGACGTTATATCAGCAGCAATGAAGCTGTATGGCGAATCCTTGGCTTTGACATCCACGAACGCTCTCCTGCTGTCATCCATCTCAGTGTGCATTTGGAAAATGGTCAACGAGTATACTTCACAGAAGAGAGCGTGGCCCAGCGAGCTGAAAATCCACCCAATACAACGTTGACTGCATTTTTTCAATTGTGTGCCAGTGACACATTCGCTGCAACATTGCTGTATCATGAGGTTCCGACGTATTACACATGGAATCAGTCAATGAAGAAGTGGCAACGGAGAAAACAAGGCATGCTGCACTCTTCAATGGTTCAGGTGTTTTCCACTGGCGCATTGGGGCGAGTGTATACTGTCCATCCGAGCAATGCTGAATGCTACTATTTGCGAATGCTGCTTCATGTAGTCAAAGGACCGAAATCGTTCGAAGCTATCAAAACCGTCAACGGCCAAATCTGTCAGACATATAGAGAGGCATGCTTCAAGCTTGGTCTGCTTGAAAATGATCAGCATTGGGACAACACACTGGCAGAAGCATCTGAAACATGTCATCCTAAGCAAATACGAACTCTGTTTGCTATCATTTTGACAACCTGCTCGCCTTCAGACCCAAAAGGCCTATGGGAGAAGCATAAAGAGAGTATGAGCGAAGACATACTTCGCTGTGTACATAGTGCTAACCCCAATGCGCAGAATTCGGATGAAATTTTCAATGAAGCGCTGATATCACTTGAGGATATATGTTTGTCGATCAACAACAAAATCCTCAATCAGCTTGGCTTGATCTCACCCGAGCGTGGCAGAAATGATGCTGTCGACAGAGATATGTTGCGAGAAATGCAATACGACGCTGATACACTGCAAGTTTATGTTGAGACTCAGAAAAGACTCTTAACAAACGAACAAAACCTTGCGTACAACACAGTCACGGAGCATGTGCGAACCGGAAATGGTGGTCTTCTGTTCCTTGATGCCCCAGGAGGAACTGGGAAAACATTTTTGCTCAATTTGATTCTCGCCGAAATTCGTATGAAACATGAGATTGCTCTGGCTGTGGCATCGTCGGGAATTGCGGCAACACTGCTCGATGGAGGACGTACGGCGCATTCGGCATTCAAGCTGCCATTGAATTTTGAATATAGCCGACGTTCCTCTCTGCAACATCGGAAAAACATCAGGAATGGCCACTGTGTTGAAAACGTGCCAAATCATCATTTGGGATGAATGTACGATGGCTCACAAGAAAGCGCTTGAGGCACTTGATCGTACTCTTCGCGATTTCCGAGGCAATCAACGCCTAATGGGTGGAGCTCTGATACTGCTCGCTGGTGATTTCCGTCAAATCTTGCCTGTCATTCCAAGAGCAACACCAGCAGATGAGCTGAACGCATGCTTGAAGAAATCGGCTCTCTGGAGACATGTGAAGAAAATTACACTGTCGACCAATATGCGTGTGCATTTACATGGAGATGTTTCTGCACAAACATTTGCCAAGCAGCTTTTGAATATGGGCAACGGCAAAATTCCGGTTGATCCTGCAACACACGAGATATCGTTCCCACCGAACTTCTGTCAACTTCAGGCGTCAATTGGAGATCTTGAAAAGGTAGTTTTCCCGGATATTGCCACTAATTTCAAGAATCACGACTGGCTTTGCGAGCGAGCTATCTTAGCTCCGAAGAATGATGACGTCAATCGCATCAATCATAAGATTCAATTGAAAATTCCTGGAGCGGTCACGCAATACAAATCTATTGACACAGTCACAGAAGAGGACCAAGCTGTCAATTATCCAGTCGAATTTCTCAATTCATTGGAGCCTCCTGGAATGCCACCGCATGTATTGTCGTTGAAAGTTGGCTCGCCAATATTGCTTTTTCGGAATCTCAACACACCCAAGTTGTGCAACGGAACCAGACTTTCCGTAAAAAGGTTGATGCCGAATGTGATTGAAACGACGATAATCAGTGGCAAATGTAAAGGAGAGGATGTGCTCATTCCGCGCATTCCAATGATCCCCACTGATTTGCCCTTCACATTCAAGCGACTTCAGTTTCCCGTGCGTCTCACTTTCGCAATGACAATCAACAAATCCCAAGGACAGTCGCTGCGAGTTGACGGTTTGCATTTAGGAAATCCATGTTTTTCACATGGTCAACTCTACGTCGCTTGCTCCCGAGTTGGAACGCCAAAATATCTATATATCTACGCACCAAACGAGAGGACCAAAAATATTGTGTATCCACTCGCGTTACGATAGATTAGTTTTCATATGATACAATATTCATTCAAATATTGCTATTAATAAAATCTATATATTTTTTCATCAATTCTTTATGACTCATCTTTAATTTTTTCCCAGCACATGCTAGATTCTTGATTACAAACACATACAGGCATCCATTTTTATATATATAGAGGTGCGTAGAGGCAGGGCAACGTCTGCCCGGGTTCGGCTAGATCAATTAATTCAAAAATAAAAAAACAGGTTCACTGACATTTATTAATGCAGTGATTATAATCAATAATTACAATAAAGGGCTATATTATCTATATATATAAAAATCACTTTCAAATTTTAACGTAACGTTCCATTCTCAATCCCGTAGGGCTTTAGATCGGCTAAAACATTTTTATCTTTATAAGTGAATATTAACTTTACTGTACTGAATAGTTTAGTATAATATTAATTTAACATATTACAACTTAGCCACAGCAATGCGTGGCCGGGTTCGCTAGTAACTTATAAAACAAAGACATTTAAGGATCTTGCAGGCCAACGCCCACAAATCTCCTTCTGCCATCTTAGAGCTTTCTAATTTGGCAGAGGCAACTAGAGCCGACCTGGTGCTTCTACAGGAACTTCCTGCCCACTTCAACTGGCCCTCGTCTGGTTTTCAAACCTTCAATACTCCTGGTTCATATATACCTTCAGGTATAGTAGCACGCTCTTATCTCCAAGTGCTGCCCATCGAGTCTTCAGACCCAGCTATCACATCTATTGCTATCTGGCTGGGGCACAGTCCTATCTCAGTCATCTCAGCATACTGGCATGGTCAAAGGGACGCTGACGACTTTCTCCCTCACATTGAATCCATCAACAACAGGTTCCCATTTCTGATGATCATAGGCATGGATGCCAATGCTCACTCCCCATGCTGGGGTATCAACGGCAGACTTGACTCAGGTGGAGAAAATCTTGAGGACTTTGCCCGCCTTAACGACCTCCACGTCTTAGGCCCACCTGAGAGGCCTAACCTGAGAAAACTAGTCCTTTCCCTCCATCGCTGCTCGCATAGCACACAGAGTCCAATCCGGAGTTTCTTCTGTGGCCTCTATCGAGCATGCCACAATCGACTCAAAGCAGCGATACGAAAAGCCAAGAGTAAATGTTGGCTAAACCTCTGCAACGAAGTTTCAGCCACTGCTTGGAGCGCCATACACCGCTTCATAGCTCAGGGCCGTAAACCCAACAGGGGTCCTCCTCTCCTCCAGCATAATGATGGCTCTCCCTTCACTCCAGAGGAGACAAGCCGCACAGTCCTGGAGCATTTCCTTCCACCAGACAATCGACCACATCCACCTAAAAATGATCCTCCACCCTACTCCGATGAACCAGACTTCCACATTATTTTCCAAGTGCCTCAAAATTGGCCACTTCCCTCGTCCCTGGAAAGCTGGACGCCTCATCCTTATCCCTAAACCTTCTAGCTCAGCCCCAAACAAGCTAGATAGGTATAGACCCATTACACTTTTGAACAACTTGGCAAAGGTGTTTGAAAGATGTATTCTGGCCAGACTCCAATGGCTGGCAGATCGACATGGCTGGTTTTCTGACAACCAATTCGGATTTGTCCATGGGCATGCGGCAGAAGATGCACTGGCCAAAATCACAGAGTTCATCGACAGCAGGCAGTCACACTGGAGGAAGACTCTGGCAATAAGCCTGGACATCAGCAAGGCTTTCGATACCATTTGGAGACCGGCCATTGTCCAAAGCCTTGATCGCCTAATCTGCCCAGACTCACTGGTTTGCCTCGTGCAAAAGTTTCCTCGAGGACCGGGAAGTCACGTATTCCGCGGGGAACACCCCAAGGCTCTGCGTTGAGTCCCTTCCTCTGGAATGTGGTCGCTCGCGAACTATTCCTGCTTTTTCAAATCAGGGAAAGTTCGCTAGTGGCTTTTGCCAACGACTTCACCCTCCTAATACAGGTCCGTGGTCGTTTGCCTGTCGTGGCTATAAACGACTTTCTGGATAGGATGACTGCTTGGTGTGTTGACAATGGCCTCCAGCTCAACCCCAGGAAGACACAGGCCTGCATCTTCCAGTGGAGGAGAGTTCGGCCCAACCCGGATCCTGGGTTAAAGATTCTCGGACAACCTACCTATTACCATAAGCCAGAATATCACCATATTGGGGGTCGAATTCAATCAAACTCGTAAATTCGTCTCCCATCTTAAGAAAATTGTACTACGGACCCGCTGCATAATTCCCCGTCTCTCTAATGCCATCCAAGGAAAGAGTAAGTACACAAGTATTTCTACAGTTCTAATTATGAATAGAAATATTTCTATAGGAGATTTGAGACAAACCCTTCTTGACTTTGAAAAGAAACATGACATTAAATGCAACAATGCCTTTAAAGCACAAGAGAAGAAAACATTTAAAACATGTCATACATGCCATAAACCTGGTCATCTACAAAACCAATGTTGGCACAATCCAAAAAACAAGAAGACTTCTAATAGATATACAAATAACAGATCAAAATGGATTCCATTCTCACAAAAGAATAAAGAAGCTAATTTATCAGAAATTCAAGGTCAATCTTCTAATCAAAAAGGAGAATTTGCTCTCAATACAGAATTTTACCCAACATTTTCTGATACTCAAATTTGGCAATTGGATTCTGCATGTTCACACATGACTAATGACAGATCACACTTAAAAAATGAAAATTTTGAAGAAAGAACCATCAATGTGGCTGAAAATGGAAGAAGCATAAAATCATTAGCTAAAGGAACTGTTAGAATGAAGCACATGATTCAAAATGAAGAAGAAAACAATATAAAACTGGAAGAAGTACTATTTGTACCTGATTTAACCCTTAACTGGACGGGTTGGGTAGATTCTGCCCATGCATAAACTTAATATAGGAAAAATATATTTTTTTCGTTTACTGAGAGCTAACAGCTTTGGTGTATTCTAATTTTACAGTGATACAAACAATTTCCATTCATCGTTTAAAAATATAAGTTTTGGGAGGGCGATTAAATTTGCATGTGTGGGCGGACTCCGCCCATGCCGTCCAGAAGCGTGAGAATTTTTCATGTTAGGGTTATAGCTGATTGCTCATTCTCGAGTCGCTTTCTTCCGCTATTTTTTAGCTTCCATTCATAAAATAAGATTTCTTTCTTTGGCTAAGTAGAATTTATTCTTTTAGATTAAAAAAAAAACAACTTCCTTAATTTTTTTTATCAAGGTAAGACTTTTTATTTTTGAAATTCAATTTATAATGGAAGACGAAATTTTGAATAAGAATTTTGACGATGATTCTGAAACTGAAAATTATTCATTGAACGAATCTTCAGATGTCAGTACAGATGAGGAATGTGATTCAATTCTTACTACTGTTCAAATGTCTTCAAGTAATTGTTTCATTGGGAAAAATGGCTATAAGTGGAACAAGAATCATGCAATAATTGGAAGAACCCGTTCTCATAACATAATTACACACTTACCTGGTCTGAAAGGCCCTGCTAAACCGAAGCCAAATTGTGGCATAGATATATTCAACTTATTTTTTACTGCCGCAATTATAAAACAAATATCTGAATTTACAAATGCAAAAATTGAAGAATTTCGCCAAAGAATTTCAGATTTGACCAAAAGTACTTACTCAAATTTTACAAGTGAAATAGAAATAAGAGCATTCTTAGGTGTGTTGTATCTATCTGGAGTTTACAAATCAGGTCATGAAAATGTAGAATCTTTGTTTGCCTCGGAACAGGCCGTGACATTTTTCGCTCTGTAATGAGTGTGAAGCGTTTCCTTTTTCTATTACTTTGTATTAGATTTGATAATTTCAAGACAAGATGCAAAGAAGATAGACTCTCACCCATAAGAGATATTTTCCAAACCATTATTGAAAAATTTCAAAGTTGTTATACACCTGCTGAATACCTTACTGTTGACGAAATGCTTGTAGGGTTTCGGAGAAAATGTCCATTCAAAATTTATATACCCTCAAAACCTAATAAATATGGGATAAAAATAGTGATACTAGCAGACTCAAGAACACATTATATGTATAATGCAATGGTATATACAGGAAAATCTAAAACTCCAAAGTCAAAAGAACTATCCCTGCCAACCCAAATAGTTTTAGATATTAGTCGACCACTTTGGAAGAGTAATAGAAATATTACAGCAGACAACTGGTTTACTTCAATAGAATTAGTTGATAAGTTGAAAGAGCATGGCCTTACATATTTAGGAACGATGAGAAAGAACAAACCTCAGATTCCACCACAATTCCAACCGCATCCTAAAAGAGAATCAGGAACATCTATTTTTGGTTTCTCTGGAACAAAAACTTTAGTCTCCTATGTTCCCAAAAAAAGAAAATCAGTAATCCTTATATCTTCGATGCATCATGACGATAAATGTGATGAAACAACAGGAAAACCTGACATTATAATGGATTATAATCTAACAAAAGGAGGTGTAGATACCATTGACCAAATGGTCTCTAATTTTTTTACCTCTCGTCGATCCAGAAGATGGCCTTTGGCACTTTTTTATGCCCTCTTAGATATCACAGCTCTGAATTCTTACATCATCTTCAACTATCAGATTGATAAAAAGGATAAAAAAGAAAGAAGTACCTTTATTGTTGATCTTGGGAGATCCTTGATTGATGAACACCTGGCCACACGTAATCTAAATTCCCTCCTGCTGGAATTACAGACGACAATAAAAAAATAATGATGGTTCAAGTACATCAAGAGGATCTACGATGCCACAAGAATCTGATACTCCAAAAAGGTGCTACAAATGTCCATCAAAAAATGCGGGAAAAGTGAAAACCTTATGCTCTGTATGTCAACTAAGCGTCTGTAAAAAAACACTTCTTTATTATTTGTGAAAACTGTAAATAGATTATATTTAATATTTTTAGAAGTCAAAATCTGTATATTAACATTTGTAATCATTAAATAATCTTTCAAATATTGATTTAATTCATTATTTAGCGCTTATTTCGTAAAGGTACATAGGTGGGTTGAATCTACCCACCCCGTCCAGTTACGTAAGAAAAATCACCGTCCAGTTAAGGGTTAAGAACAAATTTACTCTCAGTACCAAAAATTGTCCAAAATGGCAATGAAGTTACTTTTAATAATAAAGGAGCATTCATTTACTCTAAAGAAGGTAAACTAATTTGTTTTGGTAACTTCACTAATGACTTGTTTACCATTAAATTCTCAAGAAATGAGGAACTTAATCAAATTATTGATGAGTCTAAATTAGGTATTCCAGAATCAAAACAAAATACTTCAGAATATGACAATATCCAATATTTTGCTTTTGACCAAAATAAAGAATCAAATTATGAAGACAATAAACAAGATGTAAATAAAGAAATTTCACTTAGAAAAATTGCAGGGACTCTTACTAGTAAATTATAAAGCTGGACAACACGTGAGGTAAGATAAGTTTCTTTTAATTAAACGAAATGCAAGCTTTCGGGACAAACCATTTGTATCTTTGCGCGTATTCATAATTGCCTGTAGAAGGGCGTTCGTCCCGAAAGCTTGCATTTCGTTTAATTAAAGAAACTTATCTTACCTCACGTGTTGTCCAGCTTTATAATTTACTAGTAAGAGTCCCTGCAATTTTTCTAAGTGATATTTTTCGAATATGAATCTCTCCAGAAAATGAAATTGAAAGGTACAAATGGCTCATATACAAGAAATCCCTCCAGTTGTCCAAATGGAGAAGTCACCTGCAGTTCAATCGCTTGTGTGAAAGTTCAGGCTTCATTCCTCCATCACTCAGGCTAAAGACCCAGTCAGCAACCCATTCTCGGCAGTCCTCATCAAGAAAACCCACAAACAGTTACTTTGGGCAAGAATCAAAGGGTGCCTTTCCAACATCAGGTTCCTCAGCAAGAGCATCAAGGGATTACTATACCTAACCGCCCAAAATATTCCAGAAGCAGAACTCATTGAGTTAATAACACGTACCACAGCAGACATTAAGATACAAGAGCAAACTATCCGTAATAGACATGATAAGAAATTATCGTTCTGGGCCTACAAATAATCATTTCCACTCAGTCCCAAAAATGAAAAAAAAGGAAGCAGCCGCTAATGTTGTCAATCTGTCCAGCAGATCTTTGACTCCATCCGAAAACAAACTCTTGGCCAAAGGACTCAGTACCGAATTCCTAGCAAACCTGATATACCTAAGATCATCAGCAGCATTGAAGCCACCATCAAAAGCTACAACCATCAAGATAAGTGCTCCATCAGGAATGCAGTGTCTCAAGCATTGCAAAAACCTTTCACCTTACCCCCAAACACCCACCTCGATCTCAAAACACTTAATAGGTTAAAGAACGCAAAATCCATAGTTATCAGTAGATCAGACAAAGGATCCAATACCGTAGTCATGGATAAAGATACTTACCACTCAAAAATGCTATCATTATTACAGGATGCCTCAACCTTCTCTCCTATATCGAATCAAGACAGTCACAGCAGTTAGGGATTTCAAGACTTCCCTTAATAAGTTGAAAAAATCTAAGCATATCTCCATAGAAGATTTCAGATCCTTCACCTCCAACCTTGTGGCAATGCCTACATCTACGGCCTCCCCAAGATCCATAAACCTTCCATACCTCTCCGTCCTATCATATCCTACCACCTCTCGCCAGCATATCCTCTAGCTAAGTTTCCTTTCTAATTATCTCTCACCCCTCATGAATGCACACAGAGAAAAATTATTCCATTGCCAGCACCCCCTCATTCATCAATGAAATAACCACACTACATCCCACACCTGATTATATAATGTGCTCCTTCGATGTAACATCCATGTACCTTAGCCTCCCACACACTTTAATAACAGACAGTATACACCAGTTCCTTACCTCCATTAATATAGATCCCCAAATAGTCACCACAATAACACAACTTTCAGAAATATGCCTTAAAATGAACATTTTTACCTATAATCGGGAACACTTCAAACAGACCAAAGGTTCCCCTATGGGGAAGTCCCCTCTCCTCCATAGCAGCAGAAATAGTGATGACCAAAATTGATGCGTGGATTAACCAAATACATGCATCAAGCATCTCCATATGGCGGCGTTACATAGATGACGTTTTTTGCATCTGCAAAATCAGCCAAGAAGGCACCATCCTAACAGACCTCAACAATTATCACCCTGATATCTCATTCACTTAGAACAAGAACACAAAAATGTCATCCCCTTCCTAGACATACTGATTATACGTACTCCAAATTCCTTCCATACCACAGTTTATTACAAGAAAAACTCCCCCCCCCCCCCCAACTATACCCACTTCAATTCATACTGCCCCATAGTCCATAAAATTAACATAGTTAAAACTTTAACAAAACGAATACATACCCATTGTTCCCTCCCCATATTCAAAACCATAGAAAAAGAATTAGTAATTTCCCATCTTACTGCCTCAGCTTTCCCCTTACCTTTATTAACAGACACACTTACGTACCCAGCCCTTACAAACCCCCAACAGCTCATAGATCCACTTGTATTTTACCTTATTCACCCTGCACAGTCAACATATCCAGACTTCTTAAAACCCATGGCATCCAGACCTTTTTCAGCAACACCAATAACATATCCACACACCTCAGACATCCCATAACCAAAGCAGACACTCCTCCCAGCCCCCTTCAAAGTACAGGAGCAGTCTACTCTGTCTCATGTGAGCAGTGCTCTGCCACATATGTGGGTGAGACAGGTAGAACTGTGGCCATCAGAATGACAGAGCATTCCCGTAATATAACTAACAAAGACCCCAAATCCCTCATCCACCAACATATAGCATCTACAGGACACACATTCGATATTAACCATCCAGTAATCTACTATAGACATATCCACAACCAACACCAACGATTGGTGTTGGAATCCATAGTCTCACACAAACACAATAGCATTAATAGAAAGATAGAAATTCCCGACATATATGGTGTTTTCTCTTGGCTGAAACATCTGTAACATCTTAGTTTTTCATA